TTTCTTGACCCTTGGTCTTGGGTTCTGGTGTTAGGGTAAGGCTTTGTTGAATCTGTAGTGAAAATGCATTGTACCTGTGAAATTCTTCTCTGCTTCTGGGCATATCGGAAGCAAACTGAGTAAAAGTTTAAATGAATGAGTAAGCGTATTTCTACCAGATTTTTAAACATCTGGACCATTCGTCTAAGCATTCTGGTCCTGGGCAGGGCTCTATTAATTTGTATTCTACTGAGAGAAGTTATTCCCCTTTTCCTTTCACCTTTGATAATTAATCACCGTAAATAATGTATTTGAAAGGTTACTAGAATAAGATAATTATGCAAGAATGTTTATCGTATAATTCAAAAAGTACTTTCTTAGTTTTAATAATCAGGTAGACCTGTAAGTAATAGATAAATAAAAATGAGACAAAAATAACTTATCTTATTAAAAGTTCTTCAAAGACCATAAGAGAGGTCAATGCTAGAGGTCTTAATATGGGTTTAAAAATAGTACAGAAGTACTAATAGTGTGTTGATAGTCTGCATGGTGATAGTGTTAAGTGGGGGACAGATTAGAACTTAATTTATGAGTTGATACTGAATACTAGACTAATTATTTTGTTGATCCTGATCTTCCTACTTCTCTTGCTTTAGGGCAACAATGCTTCATCTATCAGTGTATTTAACTTCTAAATTGTTGTATTATACTCAGGTGACCGTTAAGGCCCTTGGGCCTCTTGTTTATTACTACATACAATATGTAAATATGAAATGTGCATCGAGTGACTCAGGACATATTTTGATAGATTCCTTGGATTTTTTTTTTTTTTGAATTGATTTTTTTCTTTTCAGTTTGTTGATGTTTTAAACAGCAAGAAGGAAAAAATAAGGCAGCTTAAAAATAACTGTGAGTATTCAACTCTGTGGTGCAACCTACATGTTTGTATGTATATTCACTCAAATTTATAGTCAGAGCAGTAGTGGATATGACAGTCTTAAGATTGCTGTAATGGTACAATCTGAATGAAATTTTAAATAGACTCCTCTTAATATAGCCATTCCTCAATACCCACTGATTTATGTACATACTAACCTGGCGACTGTTTCACTTACAAATCATAAATGTACGATTATGTTTACGATTGCCAGACGTGCATGTAAAGGAGCGTTTCACTAAACCTATAGTAAACGTAGCTCTTACGGCCGGCGAGTTACGATCAACTTATTGGAACTCTTTTGGCTAAGGAGGTGTATTTGTTTGAGAAAGAAAAAAAAAAATAAAGAAGAAAGAGATCATTACGAAATAAAAAAAAATATTTCAGCATTTTTCTTAGTCTTAAAAAATAACAGAAGAAACAGAAGAAAGAAAAGGACAAAAAATTCATGGAAAATAGATTATTAAAAAGAAAAATATAATTTTATATATTTATTCTATGCATAAAATTTGACATAAGTTTCCTCAAAACTAGGATTAAATGATATATATCAATTATCTAAATTCATTCATGCATTTTACTTCTCTTAATTGACAAGTGAAGTCCACGGTGGTGTCTAAATGTTAATATCTACTTCAAGCTAAAATTTATTACGGTGGTGTCTAAATGTTAATATCTACTTCAAGCTAAAATTTATTACACACTCGTGGTGTAACAAACATTTTTGAAAACGTTTTTTTCCGATTGTACGTATTGGCGGTTCTTGTTTCATGTTTCTGTTAAAAAAATTATACTAAACAAATAATACAGTGCAGTATGTTTATTGTTTTTTTTTAAATATTGCTAATACTCCCATGCAGGATTGTTTAAGTAATTTTTTTTAAAAAGTTACACATTTTAATGTGTATTATATCGATTCTTTCTCTGCTTTCTGCTTCATCAATTAACTTCTAAGAGAGCAATTGCCTTTCTCACTATATTCTTTAGAATTTATAATTTATACACAACATAAATCTGTGACATGTAAGTAAAGTTTTTAGCAAACTATCCATCGTAATATCCCGTGCAAATCGTAATAATCGGGAAAATAATTGCGGCAAAATATTTCCAAGTTATCAAACTAAATTATTAAATTCTTGAAAACCTCTATATAAATTGACACGGTACTACAGTCTTTAACAGGCACTGATCCAACAATTTTTTTTAACCGGCTACCTACTCCTCATAGAATTTGTATATCTAAATGTAACCGCACCTATAAAGTTAGAAAGGTTAATTTTATTTTATTTTGCCCCAATACGTAAATAAAAAAAATTCTTAAAGGCAGAGATTTTTTACCAGGTGGTAAATTCCAGGTGAGGGAGGGGCTTATTTTGTACAGGTGTGAATGCCTTGAGGGCTAGCAGTCTACCTGTGGCCGTTTGTCTCCTAATCCCTATACACAGGAAGTGATATAATACACAGTAGAGTACCCAAAAAGTCAAACTTTACCTGTGTTGGGATTCTGAGATGATTTTAAATTAGAAAGAAAAAGTTGTAAATAAAAATTAATCTAAATAATTTTTATTAATTTATAATTGAATGTGTCTCAAAGCACACCCATTAAAAAAAAATTATTATTCAAAGTATTTGTTGAGCTTTGACAAAAAATTATACCAAATTTTGATATATATTATCATAAAGAATATCATAATTATTTCAAATACTAAAGGTGTGTGTGTAATGTGTATATATATCATCAAACTTAAAATTCCATTGCAATCATAGTAATACAGCTTCTCTATTGTTTATACCATGTGTGGTAAATATAAAAGGATCAAAGTTAATTTGAAGGTTGCCATGATCATGAGTGCCAAACAAGTGTACAGGGTATACACAGGGGCTAGCAAGTAAATGTCAATCAGGTTCTAGCACCCAGTGATGTACCTTAATGCACTTGATTGACAGGGGTACACAGACCAGGTATTTTTGAAGGTGGTGCTTAAAATCTCTGCCTTTTAAAAAAAAAAAAAATTAATGCTATTTCACACAAATTCAAGTATACTGTATGCTCATGTATTTCAGTGATTTGATATTTAGAAAAGAAGAAAAAAAAAACAGTGGGAAAGGGGAACTTCTCTGTTTAATTTCTGGGTCAGTGTTGATTTCTGTAAAAGGGGTGAAGAAGATGTATCTATAATCTTCTGAGCTCTTTTATACATTGTTGAAAGGGAATGCAATCGTATCTAACGCACCTCAGTTTCGACTGTATTTTTATTTATTTTCTTTTTTACAGGGGAGGGGTTATATTGATCTCTAAAATGAAATCTAAACTTGAAGTTTTTATTATAAGCTGCGAGTATGTATATTTTTTTTTACTAAGTTTGAGTTTTAAGATTGGACTCGGTCTACACAATTTACCAGTATTATGACTGAGAGCAGGCAAAGATGTGAAAAGTGGCAATATTTATTGTTTTCTTGCTTATAGTTTTGTTTTGTGTTGCTTTTTTCATGAAATTACTTGCACGTAAGTATCTTAAGAGTGCCCCTGACTGCTCGTAGACTTACGATCAACTTTAATCGTAACTCGCAAATCATAACTCTTAGGGAAACGCACTTACGTGCTACGTTCACATTTACGTCTACGTTTACGAGCTACGACCTGTTAGTGAAACGGTCGCCAGGCCTGTAGGAAGCAATTTCAGTTGGGGGGGGGGGGGGGGGGGGCACAACCATACATTTTCAGTTGTGGGGGGGCACTTTCAACTACCAAATATTCCTTGACAAGCAAAAAAAAAAAAAAGGTCATCAGACATTATTATTGAGGGGGCACAAGCATATGGTAGCTATGTTTTCTATAGTATTCTGTAGATCGGCAAAATTGCCCCCCTTCCTGGTTCCTACGGCCATGCTAACCACTGACTTATGTACATATTAAAACCTTTATTAATTACAGATATGTGCTAATCACAAGTGTAATCAAACAAATGTAATGTACTTACAATTATGAATTTTTTTAGACACAAATGGTACAGACTCATCTCCAGGACCATCAAATGTAGAAGAACCGATCAAAACACAAGAAAAAAGGCTAAAGAAAAGGTCGGCACCAAGTGATGAAGAACTGAGGTAAATGTATTTGTTGCAATTTAAGAAATAAACTAAGTAAAGTTATTGTACATTGAGAAATGCTGTTTACCATAATTTTATTATAATCTGCATTGTCTTTTGTTGTCAGTGATGCAGAAACAACAGATGAAGAAAAGGTAAGTTTGTTTTCCCTAAGAATTCTTCATGTATATGCATCTTACTGCTTAGTTGCAACAAATAGTGCTATTAACTGGACAAACATGAATTTTGTAAAAAAAAAAAAAATACAGCATGTGCATAGAGGCCAGGAAACGATATGACCTAAATGTTTGACAGAATGGGTACAGTTTTATATGAACTGTCTTCCAAATCATTCAGTATATATTAAACACTACAAACTTTTGCGTTTCTTTTTTAAGAATTGAAGTTTTTTTTTTTTAGGAACAATCATAACATTGAAACATTTGACTGTTATTTTTACTTCAGAGTTCATCACAAAAAGGCAAAAAGTCCAAAAAGGAAGTGAAAAAAAGTCCACAGAAGGATGATTCCATTGTGTTAGATACAGGGAAGGATAGTCTTGGGACATCAATGGTGTCTAGGTAATGTAATGAAATATTTCCTATTTTGGCATTGAAAATACATAATACTAATTACATATGTATATCTGTTAAATCACTTTCATCATTTTTTCTCTTAAATATTGTGACTTTGCCATGAATTTCAATTAAGTAAACTGCAATATTGATGACATGCATAAAAATCTTGTGTTTGTGGAATTTGCTTATAATAACAGAATTTTCAATTTGAATGTAAAGTTTTCTTAAATTTTAGACCACGTAGAAATGCTGAGTCGAACAAACGTAAAACTCCATCCAAACCTGTCCTACCAAAAGTTTCATCATCAGAAACAAAGTATGTGGGCTTTTATATATCCATGGCATTGTACTTATTTGGTGATATTTAGTACTCAAGTAAACTTAGGAAGCTACAGTATACTCTAAAACCCAATAATCTGTTTAAAATCATCTGTTTGGTTGGCTATGTTTACTACGTACTACACCACAAACATCGATGTTTGTAAGCGGTAGCGTATCAGAACAACTGATTTTAATCAGATTGCTCTCATTAAAACCTTGCTTTTCATCAAATCTTATGAAATAATAGATATACTTTATCATTGCCTATCTCATTTAGATGAAACTATGTAATGTACGTGTAATAACATGTATCTGTGATTAACATGTACATATCAAAAGGTATTTAACTGATAGAAAATTTATATACAGTTAAATTGCATTGAAAACCATTAAGGGTAACACTTAATTAATTTTCAAATTCAAAGGATTCAAATTCAAATATGACAAAGAAATTGTCTCAGAAAGACTAGTTTTAGTGTAATGTGATTCTTTAACCTGCAGGCCAGAGAGACCTGTCAGAATGAAAAAAGCATCCTCCTCAACATCAAACCGATCTTCTGACAACATCGATCCTGATGACCTCATTGACAATTTATGATGATGTCATTGTCAATTTGTGATGATGTCATTGAAAGTTTGTAATGTTTTTACTAACTACATGTGCAAGGACAAGATATCCAATCTATGATGTTAAGACAGTAAAGGAGTTTTGTTGATAGCCTTTACTATTGAATTGTGGAGTTCATGTGTGTGCATGTTTAAGACCAGAATTTAAAATAGTAGTGCCATGTAATGAATGTGAAACAATAGTGCCATTAGTGCAATTTTGTAGATTGATTTCAACGTATTTAGACTTGATCAAGAAGAATTATATAAAACTTTCATATGCCAGTCTTTTGTTGTTATATGCCTGTCTTGAGACTAGATCTAAATTCCAAGTACAGACCGCTACCAAAGCTCAAGAAGGAAAATGGATCTTCAAATTCAAACAAACATATTATAACCCCATGTCGGTAAAGATTCTCTTGTTTTATAAAATATTGTTTTGTATCATACCAAGTTTAACTAAGAAAATGAAAAACAATTTATTTGCTATTATAATTGCAAATTCAAAACAATATAATCAAATCACATGCCTTTCCTCAAACTTGAATTAAAATAAGGAGGCCATTGTTTTATTTTGATATGTTTTAGATCCTGGATTTAAAAGGTTTTTTTTTTGTTTTTTTCACACAAACACAGGTTTTGGGCTTGCCTGTTCATCTGACGTACTTTCTGCAACAATGTCTAATGGACAGGAAGCTTTTTTCTTGGGCACACGTTTGGGCTTGGATTCTGTAATAAAAAGATAATTTACATACTGGCAATTGAAAGTGCATATAAGGCTTTGAATACAGGTATTTCAATACTCTCTGAATGCACTAAAACACAGTTATAGATAACACAATATACACATACGAGGGGTGATCAAAAAGTTCTCGGCACTTTGAAGTGAAAGTTGCGGGTTCTTCGGATGAGACCTTAAAAACCGATGCCCCGTGTCACAGCAGGCGTTGGCACGATAAAGATCCGTCACTGCTCAATGGCCCTGAGTGCCGAGTAAAGGTCAAAATTTGAAGCCCTTCACCGGTATATGGTGACGTCTCTATATGAGTGAAAAATTCTCGAATGGGACGTAAAACAACATACGATCAATCAATCAATCATTAATTGGATTGATTGTTTTAGTGAAGAAAGGGAGATGGTTAGAAATGACGTTTGTTCTGTTGCCCAGTGAAAGCATGCTGGGAAAGAGATGTGTCCTTAGTTGAGCAATTTCTTATGAAAAATCGCCAAGTTACAGTTTGAAAAATAGTTTAATATCTTAACAATAATATAATTATTAAATCCCTAAAATTTCGTTTACTTTAGAATTTAAACATATCATATATGGTAAAAAAGAAGGCACCAATGCTTTATCCACAACGACGCTCCCAAGACAGAGGACGCGGATTGTGATGGTCAGAAATAAGAAATGATAAAAAATATAAGACTGGGAAAAATTTTTCAGCTTCTGTGAACAGAACGCTTCGGAGCATGTCACGTGACTGCCTGGATCACATGATTCGCGCATGGGCAGAACGGTGGCAGATGTGTATTTAAATCTGAGAGGACTACTTTAAAAAATAATGAACACCGAAACCTAATTTTATTTCTTTAGTGGAAGTAATTCAATTAGTTCGCGAACTTTTTGATCACCCCTCGTATGTGGGAAATTGAATACAGATGTATCATACATCAAATTACTTACAGTACTAGTCATAGATTACAAAATCAGGTCATCATTAGATAAATTCAGATATAACAAAAAGAGTGATGCTTGTGACAAAACAGATCTGGAATTATACATTTACTTTAAAGTTGTACTACAAGTAATAAATGTTTAGTTATTATCTTTATCTCTTGAGGAGGTATCCAAACAATTGCATTATAAGTTTCCATTCAAAGGTTATTGTTAAACTTGAAATGAATTACTAGTACTATATATATATATAGCTTTTAGCTTTTAGTAACATAATTTCAAATTGTAGAAGGATATATTTCTGAAGTAGGACCAACTATTACAATTACTTCGTTAATTAGTTATTTCGCTTTTGTAAAAGGTGCAACTGTTGAATGACCCTCCATCTAATAGTTAGATGGCACAAACAGATCATATTGGTTTTGCTGAGCTAATGACTTAAAACATGCATAAAGACAAAAAAGCATGTTTCAGTGAGAAGGTACTATTTTCCCTTTTCTACAACAATGCAAAATGTCCATTTGACATACAACAAAAGCCGATATTCAGGGGCAAGAGCCCAACTGAATGGAGCATCAGTATTCTTCTCCGATGTTATACTGCTTAAGGACTGCAGTTTAACTGTATTTTGCCTAAATTGATAGTTAAATTAACATTTTACTAGTATTTCTAAGGTATTCTTAGCATCAAATGTTTACCGGTATTTCAAGTAAATAAAATAGGACCAGTGCATGAAAGGAAAATTAATGCAGTAATTACTGCAGGGGTTACACTAGTGAATTTGCCAAGAAATACATAAAAACCAATCTCTCTCTCTCCCTCCTCTCTCTCTCTATATATATATGACCAGATGAAATGATTTTAAAAGATTTCAAAAAAAAAAAAAAGAAAAAAAAGTGACATTCCATATGAAGATCACATGATTCTCATATGAACCAAATTCATATGAAAATAATATGATCTTGTCTTATATGGAATTTCTGAAATCAACTGGACAAGTAACATGTAATTATTTGGAATATACATAAAAAGTGAAGGCAAATATGAACATTATTTCGTTATATTTCCCTACCGTTATTTTCTGAATCCTCTTTGATGGCGCCTGCTTGTAGTAGTGAAAAGTTAGCAGAGCTAGTGATATTGTGCATACCATGTAGATCAAAGCCATTGTCGAACGAGCTGCAAAGTGATGTTAGAATAATCAAGAATTACTGTGGTGTATACATGTGCAGATAAATTCTAATACATTCGCATATAAATTATAAATTGCAAATTTACACTTTCTGATAATATTTTATCAACTGAATTCTCATTGTGTAATACTTCAGATGTAAAAGTTTTGGTCCTTTTCGTTCTAAATTAAAAATCTGAGAAACAGAGAATATTCTTCTCTTCTTATTTTAAAGAATATCAAATGTAAGCGCTGACCATGATATTGAAGTCGAATATCAAATACATGTATAAGCGCTGACCATGATTGAAGTCTGGCAATGCAGTATAGCGGAAAGCACTCGAATAATTCTTTTTATATATACATGTATACAGTAATGTAGAGACGAAGCACAGTGAAAGAACATTTTAACGTTGATATTTCTGAAACCAAATACATTTATTTTTGAGTAATAATAGTAGCCAATCAACCATTTCCTCCATGCTATTATTTTGCAATTCACATGCGGATTAGAATCATTTCTAAATGTACATGGTATATAGGAAAACATTTCATGTCAACTTAGATCCAAAAAATGTTTCATATGTATCTCCCATGGCAATTATTAAATGGAGCAGATAGATGCAAATTTGTATTGAAAGCTAAACGATGCCATAAAATTCACATTAGCACTCTATCAGACATGCTTCATCCTAAATGCAAGATGCGAATATTTTTCAAGAATAAGTTTGAAGTTGCATTCACTTAAGCTTCATTTCAAACTTCGCGATCCGAGGTTGCATTCCACATATTTCATTAATACGAAAGGCGTTTTCTTAGATTAATGTGACGATTGCACCAAAAAAAAGTATTCCCTGACGTGCAGATTTAAGTGGAGTATCATTCGGTGTTCTGTATTATTTATTCCGATACCTTGCATTTAGGAATTTTATAAAGAATGTTATAATTTGCCCAACACATATTTTTAAAACACAATAGTTTTGCATATTGTTAAGTATAACAGCATCCGAAGATTCAAAAGACATGCATAAATTGTGTTTTTGATAACTTACCAAGCACGCTTGATACAAAATATGCTTAATTTTAAAAATATATTCTACAATGTTTTCCACCATCACCAAATTAGATTTCTATCGATAAATTACATTCGTCAAATGGTTTTATCCGAAATTCCCTCGGTCGCTAATGGGTTACTCTATATGATCTACAGTGAATGTTCTCACCTTAGCTTTGCATGGAAGAATGAATAGGGTTTTACATCGTTGTACCTGTGTATTGCAATTATGTACACAACATAAATCTTTTCACTCCTACTACTTACACACAGAATTTTTTTTTTTTACTGCAGTTAGTAGCACTTTTTCTTTTAATTAATTGTTCACCATTTTAATCGTTGTTGGCTTAACAGACAATATGATAGTTTTTGTTGTACTTTTGTTCTTGTTAAGATGTTTAGAAAATCATGGGGTACGTAAGCAATGCGCATGCCCAATAAAAGCAGAAAACGGATCCACATTTCTCACCTTTCTTTTACAAAATTTGAATCGTGGTAGCTTGAGACTCAGAAATCTAAAAGTTTTAAACCAGTTTTATTATTCAGTTACGTGAAAAACTTTTTTTGCCGCAAAATATGTTTTAATGTTGTACAATTTTTGTTGATCGATGATTTTTTCTTAAGGCACGAGCCAACTTTTTGTCAAGTGGCGTATATCAACTGTATTAGTAAAAAATTGACAGTGAAAATAAAAACCAACAACATGAATTCAGTATTCATGAACAAAGACTGAAAATGCTGTAAAACACATGCGCTCGACCTCTAAAAGTAATATTTACTCTAATGCCCTAGATGTAAATTATCATAAAACAGAGGCGGGATTATACTAACCGATACTGTGTTTTCATCTTTTTGGCTTTTTCGGCTTTGAGTAATTCACATATAACTTTTGTTCTCCTTTCTCCCTCTCTTCCTGCAAGCCAGTATGTATTCATCTCACCTTTGCCCTGCAAGATAATACATTCACTTTTAAACCCGAAATTTTGGCACCAATAAATGATTTTGCCAATAAGGGGGAACAGCAATATTTCGAGAACATTCAAGAAGCTTCAGAGGATTTCAGTTCTGCAAGGTACAAGTAGTTTTCGACGTCTTCTCATGGATATGGAATACATAGATTTGAAAACCTATTGAATTGGATATGGATTTTGATAAAGACACGAAATTTGTAGAGTTTGGAAAGAAGAGTTATGTTCGTAAGCTTCGCAAGCTCTGTACTTGGTAATTTTTAAATAATCTGTTACGGGACCAGTCCCTACATGTACATGTAACATACATGTACCGTAAGTAAAGGATTTAGAATTATTATTTTCCCTCCTGTTCGACAGCCAATGTTGCTATGTTATGCTAATATTTCATTTGTTGAAATTTTTTGGCCCGTTGGAAACACTCTTGTTTTAATTATTTACTGAATCACTTTGTGGCAGTAATTGACATGTTCAATTTGTCCTTGTTTCTTTGCCAAAATATGGCCCTCATCCAGATAATTTAACGTCTTGCCAATATACATGTCAAATGTGATACTCTCTTCCAGGTTTGCCATTATAGAAGAACTGTTAATAAATGCCTTAATATCAAAACACATGCATTACAGCAAGCAAGCACCAGAGAATGATTCATTGTAAAATTTTTGTTTCCGAAAGCATGACGTATAAACATGTGTTTATAATCTTATGTCTGTTATTATATTTTTATGTACTTTCTGTCTGAATTGTTTTCATGAGGAAAGAAAATATTAAGGTTAGACAAGGTTCAATAAAATCTGATGTGGTTGAACTAGGCGCATTGTTTCAGATTTTAGCTTATAATGATGGAGTTTAGGGTGTTTGTAATGCCACATGGTTTTTCCACTTCATTAAAGCAAATTCAAAGTATAAAGTCTTTGTCTTTTTGGTGAGTGGATTTACAAAAATCAAAAGGTGAGTTCTTTTACAAGTATTTTATCCCATATTTCAGATGTATTTTAAATCTTTTTAAACTTAAGAGAGGATAAAATAAGCAATATAAAATATGCAAACACTTGCAAATACATGAAACTTTATTTTGTTTTGGAAACAAATCTTCACTTCTAGAGAGCACTAGGCGATATAATTAATTAATGATATCTGTAAGCGTGTTTTAGTGAAATAGAAAGAACATATAAATCTTAACAAACTTATATAGTTTTGTTAACTGTTAATTAAGAATACACATGAACTATGTTGAAAGGGTGTTACCCAATTGATAAAAATTTAATTTATAACGTGGATATTTCGTTTGAACATTTCCTTTTCACATTACAGATGCACTGTATATGCATTCTGATACAGCTGTTGGGAATGTTGTATTCGTCGCTTAGTCAGGATTCGGTGCCCGCAGCTTCCCGCCAAACTGCCTCGGGGGCACCCAGTGTATGTTCCTCAGAACAGTACAGATCACTGTCGCCTTCACTCCAGAACGAACACCAGTGTAACTTACTAGAGAGGCTGAAAGGAGACTTTGAAACTTCTAAAACCAACCAGGAGAATCTCATAAATGATGCTATTATGTAAGTTTCAAATTAATTGCCTTGGAAGAAAAACATGTAGTCTTACACTAGGAAACGATATATAGATGGATATTGAAAACTAGTACCAGAAGATATAGTCTTTGAATACTAATACATATTGCATATACATGTATGTAAAGCAAGTAGAAAAAATTAAGCCTTTTGAATGTGTACATGTGGACAGAAACAAAACAACCGTTATTTTACATTATAGTTACTCAAATATTGTTCAAACCTGTGTGTCTTTGTTTCATTTAAATATATGCCTTTGCTTCATTTGGACGACAATTTCATTTAGAGGTATAGGGTATTACGGTTCTTAATGTTTTTCTTTCTCCCTCTTCCAAAGGAAACTTGATGTCCTGAATAATAAGATTGATCAACAGATCCGGAGACAGATAGAAACAATAGAGGTTGAAAAGTATAAAAAGATGGCACCAAGTTTCCCAAATATACCCTTAGTCCGAGGTACATGCAAACTTAAGATATAAAAATCAAATCAAATTCCAGAAAATGAAATATATCCGGTACATTGTATTGGCTTTTTTTTTAAAAGTGATATATACACAGAATTGTAAAATTCATTTTGCAGATTGTAATGAATTGAAGATGAATGGATTCCATGTTTCTGGGGTATATCCAATACGTTTCTCAAACGGAAAAATAATGAATGTCTGGTGTGACATGGATACTGACAGGGGTGGATGGACCGTTTTACAAAGAAGACAGGATGGAAGTGTTAATTTCACACAGAACTGGAACACGTATGCTTTTGGATTTGGAAATCCAAACACGGAATATTGGTTAGGAAATGAATATATTCATTTAATGACGCGGGCCAACAACTACACGCTGCGAATTGACCTTTGGGATTGGGAAGGAGATGAGGCCTATGCCAGATATGAATATTTTGCAGTCACTAACGAAGCAGACGGGTATAGGTTACTTGTGTCAAATTACTCGGGCACTGCTGGGGATTCGTTTTTAAGCTACCACCAAAACATGAGGTTTAGTACGCACGATAAAGACTATGATCTGTGGTACTCGTCCTGTGCGAGAAAAGACAAGTCTGGATGGTGGTATCGAGACTGTGGATACAGTACACTGAACGGGTTGTATGTAGATGGGGGAACTATTCCGATCTCGGCTGACGGACTTATTAAGGGAATTATTTGGTACCACTGGAAGAGGAGATACAGTTATTCATTGAAAAAAGTGGAAATGAAGATAAAGCCATCGCTGGCAATAAAGGTGGAACTTGAAGAACTTGCAGCTCTTGAAGCCAATCCACCATTTCTTTCCACAGTTGCATCTTCTACTAATAACTAAAACTTTTAAGACTTCGACGGAAAAGAATTTAAATAAAAAAAGGTGTTCAAACTTTTAACACCTTTCCCACTTTCATCGAGAGTATTGTATTCTATATAAAGAGATGTTTCGTATTTTAACACAATTTCTCCACAATATTAAGTACCTTAACATTAAGGGTCCCTCGATAGACTGTGGTAAATCCCTTTCCCTTCAAGCATTCATGGCACGGTTCACTTAAGTGAATCCTCCCTGGCTGAACAGAAAGAAGAATCAATAAACAGTTGATATATGATGTAATATCAAACCAATTTTAATTAATAATCGCATGATTATTTCTGACCTCCTGTTCAATTGCAACATAAAGCATAATTTAATTAACTCATACCTCACTGTATGATTGCATTCGTGATGCTGTATTTACAGTGTCCCCAAAGAGACAGTACTGGGGCATCCTCTTTCCCACAATTCCCCCCACCACACTTCCTGTGTGCATACCTAGTGTAACAATGTGACAGTGTTCATGGACATTGACAAAGGAGTATGATGTCATCCACCAGGTTAAGATATTTCAGTGTAGTCTAGGACATACAAAATGTTTTAGTCTTTGAGTTTTTCATTCATTAACATTACAGTATTTCGCGTTCATTATATAACATAAAATAATTGTGTAAAATATCTATATAATGAATACAAATACGCTTGCAAAGGTACATGAGTCTTTGTCATATGCCCTTTTACAAAACTAAGAGGAGGGTCTGTTAAATCAATTCCTTTTATATGTCAATGGGAAAGAGTATTTTTCGCTTTAGCTTTCAAAATAATTTTGGAGAAACTGATTGAAAACTCTTATGTTTACTAAACCTTTCATATATAACCCGTAAGATTTATCATTATAAGAGAAATAAATAAATGTCTTTATAAAAATAAATACTTCCTCAAGTGCCTGTATTGAAAAATGAGAAAGATGTGTTATTTGGATTAGTTACCCGCCCTGAGCTGGAGATTTTCCCCTGTCACGGGATCGGTTAGGCTGGCTGCCTTTTCCACTAGTTCTATAGCGAGCCCTGCTACATTGACCGCGTGATTTTCATTTCTGTCTGGAACACCACCGGCCACCATGTACACTGCGTCCCCTAGTGTTTCCACCTAGATAATCACATAATATACCTAGTTCAAAACAAAACCTATCCCAAAAGTATAAATGGTGTAAAGATTAGGGAGAGTTATCATCTTAAGAATTGCTTTTCAGTATTTCATTAATTTTACTTTTTCTTAGGTTTTCGTAAATAGCGGTGATAAGCATCGTCTAAGTTTGTAAAATATCATTGAAATTAGCAGTTGTTTTAGCAAAAAAGCAATTATTACTTTCTCTGTTACATACTTAATATAATTGTAAGTGACTAGTAAGATAAGTATTTCAGTCGGTCAGCAATCTTATGTATTATACAGTTCTTTTTATTCTGTTTTAACATTTATAAGAACACAATTTTCACAATGAACTTGAATTTCTTTTTTTTTTCAAATTAATGTAGCTTTATAATTTGAACTTAACTTTTTTAATACATTGTAATAAGGATGGTTAAATCTGTTTTGATTTACATTTTCATTTATTGAAATAAAGTGCATTTTAAGATGAAGCAATTTTGTTTCCATTTTTTCATTAAATGAGATTTTTCTGTGTGTCTTTGGGATTGCTTCTGTTTTCATACCTTGAAAACATCGTACTTATCGACGACAGCATCAAAGCAAGTGAACACAGCGTTAATGCATTTGACAATCTGCATTGCTGATGCTTCTGCGCAGATATCGGTGAAGTCCACAATGTAACTGAACAAAATCGTCACTTGGTCAAACGTCTGAAAGATTTCAGTATCATGTACACATTATTTTCAGAGTTATTTCATCAGTAATGATAGCAGAGAGGATTTTTTTAATAATCAGATAGGTTTTCGTGTTTATTTTCACACAATAGATCTTCAAGAAAACAGTCATTCTCTAGAAATGTTCTGTTTAAACACCCATTTTTTTCGAGTGTTACTAATGTTCTACACTGCATTTTTTAAAATTGGTCACTATGCCTTAAATCTACATGAAAAATCAATCACCTGCGGTTATATTCGTGCATATTCTGCGGGTAGATCATGAAAACGCCCTTGAAAAAAATATCTGTTTTTTGTTTTAAAAAAATGCAATGTAGAATTACGTCTATCGATAAGATAAAGGGTTGCTTCTGAGGTATAAAACTTGCTTTAACAAGTACACTTTCGGTCTCTGTTTAAAACAATGATAATTGGAAAGAAAATTGGATTCAATTAGCCTTATGTAACCTATGATTTCACAAGCAATGTGTTTGATTGTAATACCTCGCATGTTTTGATCGGGTCGTCTCCGCGTTTTAAGCGTTCGGCAATTGTTCTTGGAATCATGGAGTACAGCAGTGTCTCGCTCTTCAGTCGCCATTCGTCTTGCTTTTTCATGTTCTCTTCAATCAGCTTACTCTTTTCTTGTTGCTAAATGTTGTATATTTAGAGTATAACTCAAGAAAGTCAGTTCTAGTGTTCTAGTCAAGAGACACAAGATAGTTAAATAGAGATAACTAATGCTGTTCATTGCATTGTTTTCAAAGAGATTCTTCAAAAGATTAGGTAACAATGAAGTAATTGGGCTGGCATTTTTACAAAATACATGTAATTTTTGACAAAGAAAGGCTTAGTATATATGGTTAAAACAAAGCAACCAAGACCGAGAACAATCCCACCCCCTAAACAGTAACACAAACACATATAGAGAGAGGGAGAGAGCAAAAGGAATTGAACTCAAATAAATCATTTTCGTATATATTTCTTCCATAAATCTTCATCTAATTCATGTTATCTTTGGAATCATTTCCTGCTAACTGCTGAAATCCATTACCGAACATTCAATTGTTATCAATGATGCCACTTAATCTTAAGTTTAATGCTGACCTGTTCAAGAGAGAATTCCAGCTGCGATGCGTATTGCCAACCATTGAGAACGATGTCTCTGCTGCAGTCAAAGAGGTTAAGGTCATTAATATACAAACCGACCCGTGTCATATCTTCAAGGGAGCCAACTCTGTAAAAACAATGGCAGGAAAAACAGGAACGTTATTTGCAGCCAGACAGAGGAAGCATTTACACATCTGATATATAAAATAGATTATGAGTGTTTAGAAGTGTTCTCCATAAACTAAAACCAGAAACAAAGAAGTCGTTTGATAAATTTCGAATTCATGGATAATAAGATGTCGGTATGGAATATCAATGTTTTCTTCGAGAAAAGTCATAAGCCTTATGGGGTCTACGTGTCCATTATCTGCAGACATGACAAGAGTCTATAGAGTATTTTACCTAATGACCCGTGATAAAGGATCCTCTACATTATAGTTTACTTTAAGTACTTTTCCAAGTGACAAAGTTTCCTCTCTAGCGAGTCAACCTTCCCGTCAACGATCGAAAGTTGAATACAATGACCAGTGCGTGCTTTTGAACATATGCTGGACGCTTCACATTGATTAGGGATCGGAAATAGTTGTCAGGCAGTTGAAAAACAGCAAGGATCCGTTTAGATAATATTAATAGTAAATAAATATGGCTTTTTATAAATTATCAAAGTCGTCTTGGAAGATTTTTTTCTCCATCTTCATCTACTAAACAACCTTGGATGACCTTCGTTCGCAAAGAACAATTTAGTTTTAAAAGCAAGAAAAAACTTGTAAAATTAATTCAATCAAAATTACAGGTACACCAAATTCTGTTAGAATTTGAACGATATTGAGCTTTACTATGTCAAGGTGCATGTACTTGTACAAACATGGTTTTCACGGTTGACATAAACTTGTAGTGACTACAGAAATTACTAAAAAAAAAAATAAAAAATTTCACTTCATACATACGATTGACTATCATTTCTGTTCATCAGAAATCTTTTAACATAATCTGATGTGAAATAAAAAGAACGTTTAAGTATAATTAAAGAGAAGCAGAAATTTTCTTTGTATTAAAATGTCACATGCACTTAGTTCATTACATAAAGAATCGGAATAGTTTGAGTTACCAAAAAGGGTTTTAAAAGGAAGACTTTAGAATTATAGGGACTCAATTTGAAAATTTAATTTTAGAAAAACTAATACATGTGAATCTTTAAATCTGCTTTCAAGCATTAATATAAAACAGGTGCTTAAAGGATGCTTACAGTGGATTACATAGAAAGGCAATGGCGTCCCAGCAAGGGATGTATTTCATCTGTCCACGGAAAATGAGCTTATGTTTACTATAGAGCTTTTTCTCAAATAGTGACGTCATGCTGGTAGTAATGGAATGTCTTCGAGGAGTGAGATTGGCACATTGGAGTTCAAACACAACCGTTTGATGAGTTATAATCTGAAATAAGATCTAGAGAAGTCAAGAAGCTGCACAAATGATAAAGTATGTCTTAAGTTTACAAGTTGGAAAAGCTAAATGATGACTGATGGAAAACTGTATGAACTAAAAACGTTGGGGAAATATTAGGATAATCTCTATATGACATCAGATGGATTTCTTTTACCCAGTTCTTGTATTACTTGGTGCCTGTCAGTCTTTAACTTCAAATTGTGTTATATGTCACTGTATGTTGTACTCTACGAACATGACCGAAAAATTCTTAAAATTTCTTGTACTTAGATAACGATTAAATATGGCTGTGTAATCTTTCAAAATTACAGTCGTACGAACTCAAACATACGTAATCTCATATATATTTTGTCTTGTGTGATCTGAGTCATTATTTTGTATTTTTTTTTTTATTTGAAAAAAAAAATTACTTTTATAATACCTGTGGTAACATATAAAGTAAATTATTGGAACTATTTCAGTCGTTTGCTTTGAGGGAGCATTTGAATGGCATCAAACGAAAGCAAATTGCAGCTCTAATATTCCCAATCTAGAAGACATTTTATTCAGTTGCTGAGGTTTCTGAGTACGAAGCATAATGCAATGTGACAGAAACAAGAATCAATAGGACGAATAAACAATTATAATGGAAAGGTTGCATTAGATATGGTGTCTATTACTTACACTGTCCCAGGTGAATTCTAATATCGGCCTTCTGAGTTTGAAGCGGACATTAATGTAAGAACCGATCAGATCGTTGGTGTCTAACCATTTGGACATTCTATCTCCCGTCATAGTCACAATCATGTCTTTATTAAAGACAATGCTAAACGGGAAAACCTAGGTAATGAAGCAAACAATAAAACAACAATTTAAAAAAAAAAGAAGATATAAATGTTTAAGGACATATGATACAAACAAAAAATTGGATGTCTAGATTGGTATATATTTTTCTTTTATATATTTTGGTTGTAAATAATGCGAATAAAAAAATCTAAATTATTACGAAATTGTAAACTTTCTATGGTGTTTAAAATTCTACCCTTCTGCAGCCATCCTGATAACTCTATACAAAATTTTTTATACTTTAAATCCCATTATTGTTAAACTTTGAATGAAAAATTAAAACCTATTCGGTTAAACTTATTTATTTTACTCATATACATATGACTCAAATTGTTATTTTCAAAATTTTTAATAAAAGTTTGTATCATCTGTCCTTAAAGAAAATTGAAGACTATACTACAGGGATCAAATCGTATCAACCAGCAGTTAAGAAAACTATGTAATGATTAAAGACTTTCATTAGACAATGATTAAAGTCACTGAATGCAAAATTAGGTATAATGATGATTGATGAGATGAATAAGTCATTTTTTTGGAATGTCGTTGTGAAGGTCAGGTTTGCTATTATAGACGCTCTCTAACTGATAGGTCACAGCTCAAGCAATAACACAAAGAGGAAGTTCAAGAGGCAATGTTGAAGTAGAATTTTGCATTGTTAAATCAATATAGGAATATAAATTCACAATGTGAAGGATTATTGCCTTGCCTGAAGCAATAACAATTTTTGTCGAGTTTGTAATGAGAAATCGTTCATTGATAATTATGAATCCATAGTACTTAATAAATTTCTACCTTGAAGAACAATTCGTTTGATATAAATTCGATGTCGTCATACAAATTGCTTTGGACTGACGCTTGCAAAGGAGCAAAGTAAGCAGAGTTGTCGAAATTAATTCGAAATGTAACATTGCATCCGGTATCCAATATCTCTTCCAGCAATATTTCTAATTCTATATCAATGTCGTAAAACATTTTGGCACACTGTGTCAACTGGCCCGCCACATAGTTTCTATATCCGGTCCGTTTGGAGCGATAGCTAAGCACACATCCGTATCTGTCCTCAGATTGAACAAGGAAGGACGGGCTTTGCATCTGTGGGTAACTGTATCGCATCATTTCGTGAAGATTATCAATACCATGAAGAAAATCCCGGAAATGACGTCCTTGCAGACGAACAATTTTGTCATATCCACAGTGATTAAAGAATTTCACAAAACACTGACCGAAAAAGAGTAAATAATCTTCCTCATTCTTTTGCTCATTAAATACATGACAGCATCCTTTGGCGATCTTCTTAATGAGACCGTCTGTGTAAATCTTGTGAGTGGTGAAGACAATATTCTTCTGTTGTACATACTCCAAAATTTGATTCCACTGATCTATGCCATACTTCTCTATGATGTAATGTTGGATACTCTCCAGTAGCAAACCATACATTGTGAGGACTTCCGGAATTTTCAAAAGTGGTAATGTACCAAATTATTCCTGAAATCAAAGAGAAGCTCATCTCAATTGGTTTGGATTTTACTATATAAGATCGACACGTCTCCAGCTCATTCAGCCACTTATCTATCTATAGGTTAACCCGACACTTCCTTTGCATTAACATCATAGTTAACATTGAAGAATGGTGTTTGTGTATACAATAAGGCTATATAGTACGCACATATGAAACAATTTTAATCAAATTGCTGCTATTTCCAGAACCTTGACTGGGTCAATACAAGTATAGCCTTGTTCTTAATTTCTTGGTAATCATTTGATTCTGAAACATTTCACTTTTTTCAACAGTGGGCGAAGGTTTCTTCCGACATCTTTATATAAAACAATGTATTTGTCCACAAAATGGTTTCTTCTAGCTAAATGATTCAAAAAAAAAAAAAAAAAAAAAAAAAAAAAATTAAATTTGCATGTTTTTCTCCACTTATAAATACTGAGTAATCGTTTCTTATAAATTCGAGTGGAGATATGAGAAAACATGTACGCACAGAGTTGAACAATAAAGTCCTTCTAAAGCTTTTCTAGAAAATTGCGTGCACGTTCGTGGTTTATGTAGTATTGTGCACTCAACATCGATCTGAAAAATTTGCTTGGCACTGCAAATTTATCAATCTAATTGATTTCTTCGACTTGATAAAAATTACTCAAGCATCTGTAATATTAAAACAAAAGTGAAGCAACCAAGAAAGAAAGTGTTTGATATGTAATTGAAGTCTTGTTTTTTTTATGTTGAAATTTCACACAAGATTTCAGGGGGGTAATTATTTTAAGGGAAAAATGTATAAAAAGTTTGTTTTATTAATGGGAGTTTTCAACACATAGTTTGGTTTTGGAAGATGAAAAACAAACATCACCTTTTTACCGAAATCCATTCAGAACAGAACGCCAGTGATAACATTAGGCGGAACGATAACGTTACTCTTTTTCTCAAGTTAATTTCAAAGGAGCAATTGTACCTCAGAGAGAAGTGATAATTTTACGCTAATTTCCATATCACTGAATCCCAGTAACACAGTTTTCAAAGTGAATACAAACAATACAATATCCTTTTTGAAAAAAAAGACAAGAAAAGAAAAGTGGGTTCAAAGAACGAGGTCTGTTTATATAATTTTTGATCAATGAAATACGGATTAAAAATGTAATTTTTGTTTTAAAACATTGTTTGAGAAGAAAAATCAGACATACCTAATTGTCGAAAATCTCCACTGTTTACTAAAAAATGGGTCCCCACAAGTCCTTTTAGCAGGTGTAGAGTTAATAAAAAGTAAATAAACACTATCCATTGGTTGATCAAAAACTTAAGTGGTCAAGGGGTCGTCATCTTGTGTACAGAATAAATAGGTTTCTAAATAATAGCGGTAATCAAGACGCATCGATTATTATTCTTAATGGTGTAATTACATCTCGCACGTGCTGTCCGTCGCGTTCAATTCTAAACTTTATATAATTTCAATATAACGTCTTTCTATATGTCACCTCATTCCATCAGAACTTTGTAGAAAAACGATTTTGACTGATAAAAGATATATATTCAGCGAACATTAACTCGTGCTTTGTTTCTCAAGCTTTTGAGATCTTTAACGCAAGCTACTTTAAAGACGTCGTATTGTGATAAAATTCATCGAAGCAGAAGACAGATTTGTTTTTACATTGTTTACCTTCACAGGTGAGAGACACATTCGTCACGTGTAATAGGTTTAATATACCCCCCGAGTAGGAAGAAATATGCAAATGTGTGTTTGTATTGTTCCTTGTCTTACTGTTATTTTTAGTTTTCATTTTCTTCATTTGAATTTGATTTATTTTACTTAATTATTCATTCATTCATTTGTTTATTCATTTTAGCTAATTTATTGTACATGTGTATTTTGATTTGGTTTTACCGAGATTCAGAATGCAGCAATAAACTTAATTTTAATTAACTTGATTTATAAATCTGAAGAAATCGTTCCGCTTTTTAGTTGTATTGGATTTTTCCAGGGTAGTATTTGCAGAAACGTTATTCAGTGGATCAAATTGACAATTCCTAGACAACATAGAAAAAAAAACCCACTCCCATTACTGGGTGAATGTCTGAACAGTTTTGAGTGTGTTCTCATCAGACTGGAGAGGCATGGGTAATATTTGCATCTAGTAATTCTGTTTACATAGGAATTCTCTCTTTAAAACACATCCCACAATACTAACATATTGTATTCCTAACCATGACATAGCAGCCACTGTTAACCTGATGCTGATTCTATTTGTTATTCACAATTTGGTTGATATTTCGATTTATTACGATAAAACCACAATACGGAAGTTGGAACGATAAACGTAATTGCAACATTTTAGAACACTTCATAAAGAGTCAAGCTTAATATTCCCTCTTTATAAATATATGTAAACTGTTGCATCATTTGTCTTAAATGATTCATTCTCAAGATAATTACTTATCATCAATCTTTTGGTTTGATTACATATACATGTATTGTGATCTTCTCTTTAAAAGATTTTTCTTGCATATTCTCTTAATTAAAACTCCTGCCGACCGGTCACATCCGCCGTGTGCTCCTTGTGATGATCGGTAAATAACGGAAAAATTCGTCGTCAATTCAGTGTGTAAATAATGGCCTAACAATTAGTATGAAAAACGTCAGTCAGTATACGACATAATGATAGATTGTATTTGCTGACAAGGTCATTGCATCGACCATAGAACTTACGAAATGATGACTTTAAACGAGACTGTTGATATTCTTGTTTCATCAACTTGTTTGTCAATAACTTACCTCGTTTTAGAAATTGTTCATACGTAGAGCATGCTCTTGCGTATTGAATCAATTGAGAGATATACACCCCGTCTGCAGGTGATAAGGGTATATTGCTGCATAAATAAGGGAAGTTGACGATTGAATACTTAAAAGTCATCAGGTTTATCATAAAGCTTGGTGTAACTAATCCTCCCCTGGTTAAATCTTAACAAACTACCATGTATCTGAGGAATTTTGTATATTAATATGATTAACACATGACCATGACCTTGCAATTCTTCAGAAGAAAAGATTTAAAGATTTTCCTATAAATGTATATATACCAATGTAAAAAAAAAAATTCATCTCCTACTGGGGCCCCACCAAACCTATGGAGGCCAAGTTTGGAACAAACTTCAAAACGTTAACTATCTGATGATGCTTGTATATTTATTATATATTTATTAATATATTTATATAATATAATTTATTGTATATATTTATTATTATATAATTATTATATCTAACATTAGAATATTATATTTAACACTAACCATCAATCTGATTAAAATCAGATCCTTTGATCCGCTCACATAGATCTCTACACATGGATGATCCTTGTGTAGCGATCTATGTGAGCGGATCAAAGGATCTGATTTTAATCAAATTGGACTAACCATTGCACTGCTGTTCGTGAGGAAGATTTTTATAATTTTCCTTATATATATCCATGTAAGAATTATAGATCTCCTACTATCCCTGCTATTCTTAGCAAAATGATTTTTTCCTACACATTCCCATATGAAACTTCAATCTTCTATTGTGGCACCACCCTAGCCCTTGGAGGCCATGATTTGATCAATCTTAAAAATAAAATATCTGACTATCTGAGGATGCTCCGTAATTATTTATTTGACTAACAATTGCCCTGCTGTTCTCAAGAGGATCGTTTAAAAAAATCTTTATATATTTCCATGTAAAATTTAGCCCAATCATAAATCTGTGGGACTTGATTTGAACAAAATTGAATCATTACTGCCTGAAGATGCTTGTATATTAATACGATTAATCATGGCCTTGTTTTTTTTCATCAGGAATTTTTCGTATATATTCACTTGTTGATCTTTACGTCTTTTGTGGCCTCATACTTCCCCCGGATTTGTTGCATATAAATGTCATATGAATAATCACAACCTCTTTAGAAAGATTGAAAAAGGTAAATGAGTCCTTATTTGTCACATTCACTCAAGGATGCTCGTGGCAAGATTGGTTGAAATTTGCCCAGTGGTTCGATCTGAAAAAGTAGTCGAGAATGTTAAACGTTTACAAACGGACAGACAGACATATGGACGCCGGACATAGCTCACTTGAGCTTTCATCACAGGTGGACTAAAAAAAATCAATAAACGTTACGCCTGTGAAAGCGATTGACATGTACTAAAGTATACTTTTAGATTAACAATTGTATAACGGTTACTCTGAAGCAAACTGCGGGTATTTTATAATTTTTTTTTTTTATAATATTGTTTTATATAACTTCTAGTGGTCAGAAACAGCTAGGTACATACATCTCTTAAGTATCAGAAACAAGTATTTTCCCGTCGTGAGATTGCACAATTTAAATTAAAATAAAATAAAACCCTCAAAAAGTAGAAATGTATGGTAGCATATTTTTGTCCATTATATATGAGAATTATTTTCTATAGATTATTTCCAGTTGCAAGATAGTCAGTGTTGAGATGCAACATTAAGATATGTCACTTTGCAACAAAACTATGTTGACATACTAGTACATGTTCAAGAAAATTATGGTAGGGTAAGAAATAGTAAAATTTTCATTAAATATCAAATATCGCCCACATGTGACATCCAACATGCTACTTATTTGAATTGCATATCAACTTAAAGAAGTTGCATCTCGCATATTGGGTGTAACAATTTGTTATATACCGGTATGATGAAAATCAATTCTTTTACCTATCACTTTTTTCTTGCTTGTTAACATATAGTTTATGTTAGCTTGTTTACATATTTGTGTTTCATGTCGACATAACTGTATTACATGCAGCAATAATCTATAATAGAGAATATGAGAAGAAAAAAACCCAGAGCTAGATCTATGTATATAAAACAAAATGAAGACGAAAAAATACTCACAATTTATACTTGAAGATATAATGAACCGGTCACAGTATTTTATGTATTTCTTCTTTATATTTTGCTGTTTCACTGAAGGCCTGTTTAGCTCGATTTTACAGGAAACTTTCGTGTTTTGAATT